TTAATAACACAAAGGCATTTGTCAACTTATGCCATTTCTGGCTAGTAGACGTGATATCCAGTGTGTGTGCTGCACGCCAATTCGCCCTGTCTTCCTACATGACTGTGAGACACTGTCATTGGAAGTGGGAAGTATGAATGTTAAGGCTATCTGTCCTTGATCATTCATGCCTGCGTTCTATCTTACGTGTTAGGTGGTGTAACACAGTGAGCAATATTGAAGTTAGGCGTCGGGCGAGTGAATGCTAGGCGAGATCAAATAAAGGCATAATTATATTTCAATAGTTTACACACAATGATAAGTTTTGTTATTGGTAATATTTCGAGCTAAGTGAGATGGTTAACACATGTGTTAGGCATACATTCTTAGCCAACCATCGCCCTCCTCGACAATCGGCAATGTTAGCCGCTGACACAGGATGCATGGATCAGGATGGAGAACAGCTAGCACATGCTGGTCAAACGAAAAAAAATGGTTTCATCAGTCAATGAAATCTACAACAGTTAGTTTAAGCTAGTCATGTAGGGAAGTGTAGACTTCCTTTCCTGACTGGTTGGGGCCATCGGGCCGGTAAGAACCAATGACGGCTGAAGACACTTGGTGATATGGCTGGCTGGCGCAGATACATCCACTCTTTGTGATTTATAATACTAAATAAGACTGTATTGTTTTTCGCTCACACTTCTGTTTACTAACTGTCTTTTCAGTCTCTCTTTATTCTCTTCACTTGCTTTGTGGGCTGTATAGAGGGGGAGTGGCAACTCGAACTGATGCACACCTGTGCAGAGTTCTATGCAGAAACCAGTTAGTCAGTTCAAAGCTGGTGACTAGCAATAGAATTTAGGTGGTGAGTTGATGTACTCACAGATACTGGTTGTTTTAACCCACCCCATTTGAAAAAAAATCCAGTGGGAAATTCGAAATTTCAAGGAGTGACAAATATCACTTTTCAAGAGTTTGTTTGCAGGGAATTGATTTTTTTCCAAGTTTGATCTCACATTGATATAAGTTAGATCATGTCCCAGTGGTTGAATAGCCTACTGGCTTGCCTTACAACCTATAGCTACTTGGTTCGAAGACCCTTGGCGGGGATATATTGATGAGGATTCCCAAACTAGGACGAAACAGCTGATCAGTACTCCTTGCTGATTTTTTTAAATTATTCTCCGAACTTGTATCAATCTGTGATCAAACTTATTAACACTATTAGTCAGTAAATAAGGCGTGATACGGTTGCCTAGTGGATAACGATTTGGCAATGTTTGTCTGGTTTGAGTTACAATGGGAACATTTTTACTTAAATTGAATATTCCCATAATTTATTCATAACAAAATATTTAGAGCGAACAATTGTCGCTTTCGATAAATTCTTCTTCAGGCTCTACAATTATAAATCCACTTATTTAAGCATACAACAGCCAGTCAGTCAGTAAAGGCGAATTAGAATCATATCAGAAAGTGTATTGTGGAACAAGTGTAAGTAAGATGGGATGGAACAATCAATAGTCAGTTAAAACAAGCAATAAAGGTTAATAAAGCAGGATGATTTAATGAATTCATCAAATTTCGGTAGAACTCGTCAGCTGCTCAGTACTCTACATACACGGATATATATGCACTTTGAAATTACATTGGGAGAAATAAGACTGATAAGTAAACAAACTACATTGAATTAATCATGCAGAAAGACACGTGCGAATGTTTTCCAGATCATGTTCAAATAGATAAGGGGAGAGAGAGTATGAGAGATCAAAATTAAGATAAATTGCATTACGCTTCAATTACATCACTTAGATAAACAATTAGTCATTAGGGAATATAACGAGAATTGCAAACAGACTAATATCAATAGTAATAGTCTTAATAACAATAATAATAATAGTGTTGAAGTGAGTTAAGATAATCTTACTGATAAAGCATAGTTTTAGATGAATCAAGAATAATAATAATAATGGTAATAATAATAACAATAATAGTAAGAAGAACAGGTAGAATAATAACAAGTAGAGAATAAAACGTATTACCATGGTAGATTCAGAGTGACGACCATCTCCTTTTGTATACAGAGGGCTGGTTTATAAATTCCAATTGCACAAGCCTCTGCAATTGCAAGCATCTTCTTGTTTCTTTGTTTGCTGACAATGGTAAATGACTTGACTGCGTCGATATCATGTCCGTAATCCACGAGATGTTTTGTTATTGAGGATTTTGGTACTTTGAACTCAGCTGTTTTCAACCATTTTCGCAAATGCTCCATAATGCGAGTAGACAATCGCCTTTCCGTACGATCTATGTATTTGCTGCCACAAACACACTCAAATTGATATATGCAGTTTGAAGTGTCGAGGATCTACCATGGTAATACGTTTTATTCTCTACTTGTTATTATTCTACCTGTTCTTCTTACTATTATTGTTATTATTATTACCATTATTATTATTATTATTCTTGATTCATCTAAAACTATGCTTTATCAGTAAGATTATCTTAACTCACTTCAACACTATTATTATTGTTATTAAGACTATTACTATTGATATTAGTCTGTTTGCAATTCTCGTTATATTCCCTAATGACTAATTGTTTATCTAAGTGATGTAATTGAAGCGTAATGCAATTTATCTTAATTTTGATCTCTCATACTCTCTCTCCCCTTATCTATTTGAACATGATCTGGAAAACATTCGCACGTGTCTTTCTGCATGATTAATTCAATGTAGTTTGTTTACTTATCAGTCTTATTTCTCCCAATGTAATTTCAAAGTGCATATATATCCGTGTATGTAGAGTACTGAGCAGCTGACGAGTTCTACCGAAATTTGATGAATTCATTAAATCATCCTGCTTTATTAACCTTTATTGCTTGCTTTAAATTAGTATCGGGAAATAAATATTTTCAATAGTCAGTTAGTTTTCTAATATGCATGGTCAATGAGAACATGGGACAGAATGAAACGAAATAATTTAATTTAATGAGATATATATGTATATATAGTCAGCAGAATATACAGGTTTCGAGAAACCAACGAATGGGGCGGACTGGACATAAGTTCAAGGTTGACAATAACAACAATAAGAATGATTGTAAAATAATAACGATGATATGATGGTGTAAAATTACAAGCACCATTGGTGAATGATTGTCAAATAATACTAATAATGAATATAATGAAATAGAATGAACAGGATTTTGTAAATACGATGACAAGTTAGAAAAGCACTATTTAAACCTAAGGTGGTAATAGAAATCATAAGAAAGGTCATGAAATCATAAAAGTCGAAAATGAACGTTTGTCAATGAAACAGAGGAATAGAAGAAGGAAAAGAAAAGAAAATTGTGAAAGGAATTTATAGTGTTAATGGAGGATTTGTTGGCTTTATTGTAGGCCAAGGTAAACAACAGAGAGGTTGAACATACTTCTTCTGTATGCAAAGAGATAGTCTTCTGGTATTAATTGCACCTGCTTCAGCTACTGATAGAAGACGTAGTCGAGCTCCTCTAGATAAATTACTAGGAAGGCGGAAAATAACTGAGAACGCTTGGTCAAGTTTTATAGGGTGTCCAGTATCTACCAAGCGGGTTAAGACTGCACTATTTATGCATTTGGTTACTCCTTTACTCAACCATACAGGTATATGTTCACGCGCGCACATTTATAAAGCCCTCTGAGTATGACCAATGTAACTAGTTCCACATGAACAGTTGAATTCATAGATACACATTGATGAGGTCATCTTTGGTAACTTCTACTTAACTTGCTGTGTGAGTACTGGTTTAGTTGGGAAGTTGAGTACCAGGAAATGTTCTATCTACTGTTCTGTTAAGTCGACATTTTAGAATGTCAGCTACAATTTCCCCTTTGTAACTTAAGATACAAAGGTTTCTTGTCAACGGTATCCACCTTCACCCTGTCTGTAGGTATTGACATATACTTTTTTAGGAAGGTCTCTGAATATCCATTTTCTTGTAGTGTAAATTTCAGTTTATACATTTTTTCCTTAATGCATTCCTCTGAACATATGCGTTTTATTCTACAGCTAAGACACTTAACTAAGTTTATTTTGTATTGAATCGGTGTGAAGCTATGGAAATGGGTGGTACTGACCCGTCCAAGTTTTCTTTCTAAATAATTTCCTTTGTAGATGTCCGTCTGTCTTCATGGTAAAGAGAACGTCTAGGAAAGGTAAACTTTTATCGTCTTCTTCTTCACATGTAAACTGAATAGTTGGGTGAACATTATTAACAGCAGTCAGAAGTTCTTGTTTATTAAGATTTCTGTCACACGATGAAGGTATCATCTACGTATCGACAATAATAGTCAATCCCTTTAATTGTGTCTTTGAGTGGACCATTTTCAAGCTTTCCAAGGAAAATATCCGCTAGCATAGGGCCCAGAGGTGATTCCCTGGCTACACCATCAACTTGTCGATAAAAACCAATATTGAACATAAAGTGAACATTCATAGTGCATTTCAATAATAATTCTATGACTTTTTCGGATGGGATTCCTACATCTATTTTTCTTTTTATCAGCTGGTCACATATGTAGTTGACTGTTTCAAGCAGTAGGACGTTGGTGAATAATGATGCTACATCCAGTGACATCATTTTCTTTCCCTTTACATTCAGGCTTTTGGTAAATTCCACAAAGCTGAACACGTCTTTTACATTGAATTTCAATAAATCGCGATATAATGGTTCTAGTGCCTTTACCAACCACCTGGCTGTAGAACATCAACAGGTTTACTTACTTGGATGCAAGCAAATATCCAAATGATGAGTCCAAATTTACCTGAAACACTCATTTTAGTTTCTTCTGTTAACCATTATCTATGAAATAAATTACACACCATACGGGGTTAAATTTTAAATGAGAACCTATTTAAATATTCTTCTACATATTTAACATTGAACTATATAAATCGATGTGTTGTTTTTATTATCGTATAAATTGATCACCGGTTGATTTAAACTTTTTTTTTTTTGAAATATTCCAAAGCTCGATGGTATGATGAAATCATTGAAGGATACTTTTACACAACAGCGAAACACCTATCAAAAATATAAAGGTAAGCTGAATGCAATGCAGTCAAGTACAATTTCCTGCGCAGCTTTTTGTGAACTGGCTGATTTTTTTATCAGAGCACATATTTCTCATAAAAGTGTGTGTTGTTTTTAATATACTGGGAAAGTGTTCCATTTTGAAAGTAGTGCTATCCGCGAAGACTACTTACTAGACATTCTGTAAGCAGTCGGTCATCAAAAACCTTTCTCTAACGCTTTATATTTCGTTCTGTTTGATATTTCTCTGTTGTTTGAGTCACATTCCATAGTTGTGAAGCTTTCATTGACATTCTAGACCATTTTTTACAGTGGTAACGTCAAATTGAAGTCTTTTTACCAAATGTTGACATTTAGTGATAGAGAACAATCCTTGTCCAAATTGAACAGTATATAGATGCGCCCACATATGACAGAATTTGTCTGATACTCGTTAATGACAGTTGGATAAAGGACCGAGCTTCCTAGAGTTCTGATGAGTTCTTGGATGGCAACTAGTCATTAATTGGGGTCATTTCAATGACTTTGATAGCAATCGGGTCTCATATCTCTTTTGTTAGACTGTTGGACAGGTAAGGCGGAGGCAGGTAGTTTGAGTGCTGCAGACGCCTAGATTTTCATTTCACCTTCGATTATCACCTTTGACATCAACACGAAATTCGCTACAACCAATAAGACGTGAACAAGATGGATTACTAGAGAGATCTATGTACAGAAAGTTGAAATCGAACGGACAACTCATTAACTTTCATATACAAAAGGAAACTTGACTTGTTCATTGACTCACAGAATCTGTAGCGCTTGAAGATGTGACACTATGGAAGAGGAGTCAGACACTCTGAAAGGGATTCTCCGTTTAAAATAGCTCCCCAAAACATTTCGTCGTAAATTTCATGAAGCCTAACTCAGTAAAATTGCCCACACATACTGCTCCTAAAAGACTACTCTACTTGAATCTACAATCCAATGGAGGCTCATCAGCAGAAATACTAAGGACCTATCTGTTCCAATCATTGAAGTAAATCTCGTTTGTGACTGAACTTCAACTAACTTTCTCCATAACAATAATTTGGTTTATTCCAGAAACAGTACTAGTGGTACACTGAGGAATTTTTAGCATATATTTACAATATTGCATCTAATTTTATCAAACATTTAAAAAGGAGTATTTCAAAAAAATAATAAATATAAAAACAACGACAACAAAGACAAAAAATGCAAAAAAAGTACCAAGAAGTAGAATGGAAAATAAACGACGTAATGAATAATATCTCAGTATTGGGTAGTGGAAGCTATGATATGTTTATGCGTGGTGACAGTAAAGCTATAATCATACAAGAAGTTATGAAATGATATCTAAGAATGTTTATCGCCATGCTAACCAGTTAATTTGATTGAACAAACACTAAACAATCATAAAATAAACATTTCAGGTTGTTGTTTTTTACTGTCTACTCTAGTGCGGTGTTTGTAGTGGTAGTGTGAGTAGTCCTACTAACTACCTTTAACATCCTTCTCAGGATGGTACAGTCCTTTTTCAGTAACCCAGGAAAGACTAATGGGGAGCAGTAAAGTAGAATATGTTAGATACGAGAGTTGAAAAATTGTGAAAGCAGAGGTTGGGTGATTCCAGATAGTCTAAGTTTCTTAATGTAGTAGGTTAGACGAAACACTTTCTTAGAAATCTTTAGGATATGGGATGACCAAGTAAGGTTGGAACATAGATCTAGTCCGAGGTATTTTGCATCACACTTAGTTTCAGTTTTAGTCCCCTCAATATTACAGGTTTCATGAGTACTTACTGGTGTTTGTAGATCTCGTCTATGCCTCAAGGAGAAGTCAATAGTCTGGCATTTTGAGGGATTCAGCATGAGGTCATTTAGTTCAGATCAATGACGGATATCCGACAGGAAGCTATTTAATTTGAAACAGTCCGATTGAGACTTAACGGGAAGCGAAACAGTCAGGTCATCTGCATATTTGACGAAGTTGATTTCGTCTGAAAGAGGTAACTCATGTAAGAAGAAGGAAAAGAGAAACGGCGAGAGAACAGCACACTGAGGAACTCCAGCTTCATTAAGCGAAGGAGAGGAAGACACACCATTATATACCATGTACTGCATCCTATTAGAGGTGTAAGAGTGCGGCCAGTTGATAGCCGAGGACTCAGTTTATGTAAAGCTAAGCTTGTTTAACAAAAGGCATCTAGGTACAGAGTTCAATGATTCCCATGAAAGTGGAGGATCAGGCTGCAACAGTTGGCTTTATCAATGTGCATCTACCAGATGACGTGCTCGTGTGGAGCTGGGTCTTTCGACACTGCCGAGTGTTTGCTATCCAACCATACAATCGAACATATACCTACAGTCATGGTTTTCTAAAGGGGAACACCTGATCGAATCTCAACACTAAGCTAACCCATATGCCAACTTCGACGTCATATACAGAACATGTGGGAATCCTGCTAAACTAGGAGTACATATCAAACTTCTTCAAACCCTACAGAAGCAATAACGATTAAAGTATTGGTTTGTAGCGATTTAGTTGATTGGTTACAAGATTTTCTACAAACCAATACTTGAATATCAATGAATATCAATCACTGATAACTGGACCTATTCAGGTAGGTAGTTACCTGGGGTTCTAGTGGGAAGTCGTGACCATTAGGGTACAGCAGGTTGCGCTATATCGTGAAATGACAGAAGTTAGAATTCATAGGCTGGTCATTGGATCGGGTCCCAGTGGCCTAATAGTCTACGAGCTCACTAGCCTTGTAACCAGAAGGTCCTGGGTTCGAACTCCGGTGGGTGCGTACTGCTGAAGAGTCCCAAACTAGGATGAAACAGTTGTCCAGTACTCCCAGCTGGTCTTCCAATGGTTTTATAACTGATGTCAGCTCATGATGAAATCCTGCAACCAATGACAATTTACATGTTAAATCCTGAATTCTTGCATTCAAAAGAGGCAGTTTGTTCAGTCATCAAATCTTCAGGGGATCTGAGCTCACTTAACACTGGATACGGAATTTTCGTTTTTTAATTGTATTGTATAATGTTTTCTTCCATCAGCCCCTATAAAATCCCTACCCTTATTACCATTGATGTTGTTAACCTGACTCTGGTTCAAATTTTAGTTTGAATTCTACTCAACCCTGTCAATTATATTGCATCAGTCAACTGACTTACTTGATTTTAGTTTTTTCTGTGATTAACACCTTTCATGTATTACGTAATTTGTCACCTAAAATTTGAAATTCTAATAATACATTCTTGGATTTACTATATATGTAACAATAGAAGACAAGGGTCAGCTAGGCAACAGATTGCTTGTTAAGAAAATCAACACATATTTATAGATTTTCATGTACAAATTATAGATTGTTATTAGCAGAAAAACACAGTCTTCTGATACGTGGTTGTTTCTCACAGATAGTTAACCTTGCATCTCTTTATGGCTTTTTGTTGAATGTCAGATCATCTATATGTTAACTGTATCCGCCTACGGAAAGCCTTTGTTCTCATTTTTCTCACGACCAATATTGGGGAAGTAAACTTTGACGTAAATTACTGTCCACCAATTTTAACTAACAGCCAGCTCTCACCATATATATATATATATATGCGTCGGTAGCACAGCGGTTAGGATGCTCGCCGACCATGCACATGGTTCGGGGATCGATCCCCAGCCAACGCACTCCTTTACCTCGCTAAGCCAGAAATAATTCTGGTAAAGAGGAAAGGTTGGGCATGAGGCTAGCAACCTCATCCTGTAAAAAAACACTGCTACAGAAACTTCAAGCCACTATCTTGAAGCCCTATGTTCCACAGGGAACGTGAAGGAAAAATTATTATATATATTGTGTACAGCTTGATAATGATATCGCCGAAAAGAGGAGTAAATCTTCACTGAACGTTTTTTTTCTTTTATATTCTGGCAACGTTTATTAATCCGCACGTTGAAGACGTTAATGTTCCCTGATAAACACAATCGTATCACGACAATATATATTTTTCTCTATCTTTTATAGACAGACTTGACAATGAAGTAATGAAAAGATTGAAAAATTTCCCAAAGAGCAATTCAAGGATGTGTCGAGTGAAAATATAACACAAGTAAGTATCAATTAACTAATTACAGGATTTCATCATGAGCTGTTTCGTCCTAGTTTAAAACTCTTCATCAGTGCGCACATACGCCACGGGGTTTAAACACAAGACCTTCTGGTTACAAGGCGAGCGAGTTAGTAAACCAATAAGCCACTGAGACCTAATCGGTGGCCAGCTCATTACCAATCGACGACATAGTTCGACCGCTAGCCAATATCTTCGCTAGGTAATTGTCTTCACACCCGACCTGCTATACCCTACTGATCACGACGTCCCACTAGAACTCCTGGTAACTACTACCTACCTAAATAAGGCAGTTGCTAGTGAGCATCTCATTGATAGTCAAGTATTGGTCTGTAGGGATTTGATTGGTTGGTTACAGAATTTCATAATGAGTTGACATTTGTTCCTGGGTTCAAACGCCGCAGTGCGGGTGCGTATTGATGAAGAGTCCCAAAGTAGGCTGACGAAACAGCTGTTTTGCAGTACTCTAACTGATGTCAGCGCATGATTAAATCCTCCAACAAATCAATCATATCCCTACAAACCAATACTTCAATATTAAGTAATCATCGGATACTAATTGTAATTCTGTTAAAGTAACTATCAACTGGCAAATAGGACGGTGGGGATAATGGTAACCAACCAACCAACAGCAACTCCGCCAGTGAGCACCAATCACTATCAGCATCAGGCATTTGAAAGAGGTCACTCCGTTCACTTATCTAACCAGCAAGCATCGTTTCAATTAAAGGCAGTCGGAACGGATGAAGATGTCAAGTTCACGTAGGCAGAATCGGAAAGGAAAGCTACGCCTTCATCAAAACCTGAAATCATCTTGAAAATCTGCTGCGTTCCGTAGCAAAAAGGACAAGATTCGGATTTCCAACACATTGGGATCGCCAATATCAGGTTTGATTGCGGAAGCAGTGATACAAAGGCTTGAAAACACAATCCTACCAAAGATCAAAACCAAGATTTGGATACGTTATGCAGACGACCAATTCGTAATAATCAAAAGAAACGAGTTAGATAAAACTCACAACTTAATAAACAACGTCTTCAACGACATCAAATTCACAAGAGAAGAGGAATCCGAGAACAAAATACCATTTTTGGACGTCTTAGTCAGGCGAACAACTACAGGAGAATTAGAAACTCAAATTTATCGGAAATCAACTCACACAGACCAAATACTGAATTACAACAGCAACAACCCAATAACACACAAAAGGAATTGCATACAAACACTATTCAAGAGAGCAAGGGCCCATTGCAGCACTCCCACCTTAAGGAAAATTGAAGAAAAGTATCTCATGGACGTCTTCCAAAAGAATGGATATCCACGGAATTTCATCAAGAGACATATACCCCCAAGCCAACCTACCAAAGCAAAAGCCACCAAGGAAAGCACAAAGAAAATTGCCTTACCATATATAAAGGATATCTCAGAAATCACTACAAGACTCTTCAAACCTTTAGGAATTGACGTCGTACACAAACCAACAAAGTCGCTTCACTCAATTCTATGTCAACCAAAAGACTCAACAGCAAAAGAAGACAAAACCAACATCATCTACAAAATAAATCTGTAACAACTGCGAAAAGCACTACATTGGCCAAAGTGGACGTCCCCTTCGTCTTCGTATCCACGAACATAAGCTAGCCGTCAAAAGACATGATATCCACTCCCTCATATCACTACACACAGACAACCACGGACATCAATTCGACTGGGACAGCGTTCAAACATTAGACAAAGGAAATAACAAGAATGCTAAGGAATTTTTAGAAGCTTGGCATTCCAGTGAATCATCAATCAATAGACACGTCGAGAAAGACTAAATTTATCAACCTATAAGAAAGAAACCTCACACACACACAAAAAGGGTCAAAGTTCAAGTCAAATAAACAATCAGTTTCAATACAAGTAATCTAGAAGATGTGAAAACACACAAAAACAACCAATCACGTCCAAATTGGTCACCAGGAGAGATGATTAACAAACTCGTGGAGAAATCTAAAAGCTCACTTCAAACTGAAGTATGAGATGAAGATGTCGTCTAGTAGGGCGATGAAAGCTTCGCAAATTAACTATCCAGCTCAGAGGACACCAACACATCAAAATCATCCACCTGAGCTACAAATCTTCTCTTTCATATCTTAACCTTGATGAGCTCAACAACCAATCACAGCAGAATTAACTTGTACAGGTATTATTCGCAGATATATGGCTTAACTTTCTAAACAACAATCAAAAGCAATACAGAATAACCTTCATCAAGGAAACAACCAATCAGAAGACGTTGATTCTCTGCTAGTAATAAAGCTAATAATAATGCACAAATAATCTATAAATATCTCTTGATTTTCTCAATAAACGATCTGTTGCCTGCCCATGGTCTTCTGTCGTTAAAATACTACTGCTTGATGTAAGTGGTATATAACCATTGATATCTATTAATCGGTAGTACACAGTTTCAGTAGGAGATGAGGGCCTATGAGAAATCACTGAGCCAGTTATAAAGGACTCCACAAAGTAGTCTACTGAAGCCCATGTTCCACTCGTAACCTAAGAGAATAACGAATCACAGAATACACTTTCTCCCTCCCACGTTATCTAATATATATTTATATATTTGCATGTTATGACCTCTGGGAAACACATGCAACCGTGTGATGAATAAGTTTGTGTAAATTCCTTTCAACCATATTTCCCCTTTTTTTTCTTATTAAAGTTTCCCCATCTACTCTTTTACTTATATAAGTAGTATGAAAATGTTAACATAATTTCTTCCTTTCCTCTTTCTTTTAGTTGGATTCGAAAAAGCCTTTTCCAAATGGATTAAGAGAAATTTTGGGCTACAAAAGATACTTCCAGGTGGGTGGATTGTTTGACCAATATCAATATATCTGTAAAATTAATAATAATAACGAAAGTCTGATTCTGGGCAAAGCGTCTATACAATGCACAGAATGACTTGCTCCACAAAGTTTCACAGGATTGATGGCGGGCTAACATCAGTTAGAGAACCATTGGAAAACCAGCTGGAAGTACTAGACAGGTGTTTCGTCCTAGTTTAGAGCTCTTCAACAGTACACGCCAACTGGAGTTCGAAATCGTTTCCCTCAGGACACGAGGTGACGGCAAATTTAAACTATCACAGTGACCTTGAACAACCAATCAGAATTCAGGTACAAAAAATTGACGTAATCGTTGAAAAATGCACTAAAAAAATATTGCAAACATGATAATACCCTGTATAGTTGTAGCTTATGTGTTTTAAGAATGTCTGTCAGTCAATACACAGATCATCTACAAAGAAATCTTGCAATGCGCTATATACCCATTCGTACAGATGACTGTAGGTCATGGTACTTTGAGACCCATAGATATTTCTGACAGTATTCTCCAACCTGTTGCTAATTCTAACCCTACTCTTAACTCCTAATCCTAGCGTTAACTCTAAACCTTAATCTCAAAAGAGCTATAACCCTACCTAACTGTAGAGATTTGCAGAAAAAGTGCCTGATAAATAGGCAGAATACTGTATCTACTCTCTCCAAGTCCAAAAAGGCAGGCAGGATTTCATTTGGAATAACATTTCATAGCATTCTCTGTGTATGATCGGTTCTTCAAGGTCAACTTTTGAAAGACCTTGACTGTGGCTATAATAGGTCGGAGGATTTCATTACGAACTGACATCGGTTAGGGGGCTATTGGAAAACCAGCTGGGAATACTGGACAGCGGTTTCGTCAGCCTAGTTTGGGACTCTGCAGCAGCACGCATCCACCCACCTCCAGGATTTGAAGCCACAACTTTCTGGCTACAAGGTTAGGGAGCTTGTAGATCATTAAGCTATAGGGACCCGATTCAATAGCCAGTCCATGAATTCTAACTTCTACCAATTCACTGCATAGCGCGACCACTTCACAATATCTTCTCCGATGATTTACTGCTTCACCTTCAACCTGCTTCAACTTACTGGTCACGACTTCCCAATAGAACCCCAGGTTATTGCCTAAATAGGTCCAGTCGCTAGCTGGTGAGCATCAAGCCAATTTCTCGGGTATTGGCTGATGTCAGCTTATGATGAAATCCTTCAACCAATCAAACAAAATCCTACAAAACGAATACTTGAAAACTTTCGCCTAAATAGTTTAACTTCGCCAAGGTGGTTTCATAGACCAATGGGACCGATCAGTCCTATAACCAATCAGATTCCTGTAAACTAACACTTTCTCTTCTTCTAATATCTTAAAGTAAAATCATGATGGATAGCACATCGCGTGAGCCAAATTATTCCATTTGAAGTGCATTCCAATCTTCCTACACTTAAAATATCCATAGCAGAAATTCACTTGACTTTTTATATTAACTTTTTCCAGTATTTTAAGTGAATTTTAGATTTTCCCGTCGATTGATAGGGTTGATGTGCTCGGTCTCTGGTTGACATGTCGGCTTCTTGTGCAGATGCTTCGACGATGTCTGGGCATTTAATTAGAATTTAATTCACCACCCACAAATTAAAATCTAATTAAATGCCCAGACATCATCGAGCATCTGCACAAGAAGCCGACATGTCAACCTGAGACCGAACACTTTAGCCAATCAATCGACAGGAAAATCTAAAATTCAATTAAATTCATAAGACCCTCTGCGCAAGAGGTGGCTCTCGTGGCCCAAGTGGTCTAGTGCATAACAGTGCTTTGACGTTTGAAACAATGGGGCACTGGGTTCGAGCCTCAGTGGGAACATCAACACTCACTGGGAAATGCAGGTACATCCAGCTAGAAGATAAGTCCCAAATAGGATGAAATGCGCGTTATCCTGGATTCCACTGCTAGTCACCATCCACAAATTAAAGTTTTCCAGCATTTTTATTGTTTTATTGTAACAGTGATCCTTTTTTTCTGAAGTTCACGCCCATCGATATCTGTATCCTACATGTACACTGAAAGAAAGTGTTATAACACCGTATAATGTTACTAGAATTTCGAAGTGGTACTAAAATGCAACGGTCAACTCTACTGAAGGTCAAATATGTGTACTCTTGTGGTGAGAGCAGCCTGCTAGCCAATTGGTTGACATTAATCTACGTCAATGTCTAGGTCACTAATATGGGCCGTGAGAAAATATGAACAAGGCTGTTTCAGCAACCAATCACAGCAAACTTAAATGTGGGCAAATATGATTCGCAGACAGATGGCTCCACTTTCCAAGGAACTCGAAAACAACCGATCAGAAGACTGCGTTTGTCTACTTGACTAGGCTATAATAATGTATGTGAAATTTATATAAATACGTGTTGATTTCCGTAATAAATCGATCTGCTGTTACACTCTTCTTCAAACTACCCTTCTACTGCCGATAGCCTAGGAAAAAATATCAGAAGACAAGAGACTCACAGTCTGTGCCGATGAGAATTAACTGCTTTGTTAGACAGGAAGGAAATACATTGCTTTCCAATCAAATTATTACGAAAATTCTCCTATCTTAGCAGGGAACAGCTTTAACTGACTATTCTGATTTTCCACTGGTATTTTCGGTCACTAGTCACCCGTCCTAAAGCAGTGAACAACATATGAAAATGCATAGGGGAAAATAAGAGTAGCAACAATGTAACGACAGAAGACAAGAGTCAGGCAACAGATTCTTTATTGACAAAATCAACAGATATTTATAGATTTTTATCAGTGTTAGTGTTAGCAGAGAAGCAACGTCTTCTCATTGGTCATTTTCTTGTTGAAGGTTATTCTGTACTGCTTGTTGCCGTTTCTTACAAAGTTAAGCGATATATCTGCGAATCATATTTGCACACATTAATTCTGCTATGACTGGTTGTTGAGTTCCTCAAGGTTAAGCTTCGTAATTATTTTTCCTCTCATGACTTCTATTCGGGACATGAACATTGACCAAAACTGTTGTCCACAATTTTCGTCTTGCAGACAGCGCTCGCCACAATTATACAAATAATGAGGAATTCAAAGCCCTGATAGTACTGTGATGAGAGCTGGCTTTTAGTCAAAATTCGTGGACAGTAATTTACGTCAAAGTTTAGGTCCCCAATATTGGTCGTGAGAAAAATGAGAACAAAGGCTTTCCGTAGGCGGATACAGTTAACATATAGATGATCTGACATTAAACAAAAAGCCATAAAGAGATGCAAGGTTAACTTTCTGTGAGAAACAACCACGTATCAGAAGACTGTGTTTTTCTGCTAATAACAATCTATAATATGTACATGAAAATCTATAAATATGTGTTGATTTTCTTAATAGACGATCTGTTGCCTGGCCCTTATCTTCTGTTGTTACAGTACTACCATTTAAAGAAGGAACGGCAGAAGGATTCTTAATAATGCTGAAATTAGGTTGGCATTTAAACACGTCAGTTAATTCTCTTAGGGACAAAATTTCTCGGCTTAATGACTGTCAGGTCAATTAGAGAGATAAGGCTGGTAGATTTAGGATCGTTTAGATATTTGGAAGACATGAATTTACCTAGTTCTAGAACGACTGTGATCTAGGAAAACAACTCAGCCATTGCAATGGAATCACATAGCAGGTGGCACAAATGAAATTATGAAAATATGATACAATTAGGTGAAAAGTAAGAAGTTAGTAAATGAATCATTGTTCATCGAATCAACATTAAATACATGGCCTAGTTAGACTTTAAGCACCACTAACTAAACTACCAATGATCTTGAAACGCTCAATGAGCAAGTTAGTGAAACCTGGGAAATAATGTTGTTAGCATCGCTAAAATATGCTCATCAAAGTGTTAGATTATTAAATGGGATATCTGGTAGGTTACAGCTTAGGTGTTTGGGAAAGATTAAGTTACGATTTTAGCCAAGGACAAGTTAGGGTTAGTTTAACCTAAAAGAGGTGACATTAGGGTTGGTTCGAGTTAGGATTATTGGTAGGGTTAGGTTCAGGAAAGATTAGGGTTACTGTTAGGATTAGAAGACCCAAGTAATTACACATGCACAGAATGTAGTTAAATTTCTCTGCTGATATAACGAATAGAATTTGTGCACTGCGGTGGTAGAGTATAGTTCTATTTTATTTTGATAAAGTCTTACAGTGGTGTTATACAGTAATACTTACTGATGAACACGTTTCGAGCACAATTTATGGCTGCTCATAATCATATCAAGGTACTCACTCACACAACTTTCTTGCTTCATTTATGTTATTCCATTATTTTTCATCGCTTGATTTTTGTTTGGTAGTACTATTTTCCGTTTTCCGGTATGAGTGATGAGTCATTCCTATTGCATGTGTTTGGTGTATACTCGATGAATAAGGATTCAGTAACCAACCTCTCTCTCCACTTGCACCTACTTTGATTACTTTTTAGAACTGTAACCCTCTCGAAACCATCCTGTTATGTGGTTGTGTGTTAATGCATGCAGGGCATTGTAGTGCTGAGTTTTTTTCCTAAATTACTTATCTTCTCGGGGTCAAGCATTCTTATTATTTATATTATTATTATTATATCCTTTAATTCCTAGAGGAACATAGGGCTTCAGCTGCGCACCTCTATTGCCTTCTGTTTTCTGCCAACTTTTTCACCCCGCTCCAAGTCTGCCCACACACCTTCATCTCCTATTCACATGACCTCCTCCAAGTCACCCTCGTACTGATGACCAACTCGCCGCCTCCCTTTCGGATTCCACTCGAGCGATGGCTTGTCTAGTGATGTCACTTGATGGTTTCCTCAGGGTATGGCCGGTCCATCTCTACTTCTTCCTACCTATTTGTTTCACAATCGGTACCTGCTGGGCTGGTTGGTTCTCTCATTGTCAGAGATCCCTGTTGCTGATGCTTTCTGGCTGGCCACATCTGATCTTGAGTATTGAGCGAAGACAACTGTTAATGAAGGTCTGTAGTTTGTTTGAGATGCTCTTCATAACACGCCGTCTCTGATCCCTATAATGAGTAGCACTGACTTCACATTGGAGTTGAAAATCCGGATCTTATTTTTGATGCTGAGTAGGGCTGTTGACCTCCACACAGACTTAAGGGTAATGAAAGCCTGTCTTGCTTTTCCGATTCTGGCTTTGATATCCTCGTCAGTTCCGTTGGCCTGTAGTTGAAACGATGCTTCCCAGGTAGGTGAAGGAGGTTGTTTCTTTCAAGTTCGGGGTCAAGCATTCTTACCTTAACTAAATTCTTGTGCTCCGAAAACCTGACTACCTCCGACCTACTAGTCTGACCTATGTTGTTGATCTAACTCACAGTCATTGCAAGGTATTTTCTAAATTTTATTATTTTGTTTAATTCGGTCAACTGGGTCCTTCAGCCTACAGAGCCTATCCCTAAGTGAGTTTGTATGTTTGAATGCCACTCTAGTTCCTCCCTTATTGAGAATCCTACATAGGGAGGGTCCCAGATGTCCTCCTTTATATGGTATAACAGTAGATGCCTTATATTCCCTCTTATTTATGTTATCATTACTAGTTTCACAATTATTTTTATTTTTATTTTGACCTTTTATAGAATAGTTATTTGATAGCGACGCTTCTTCCATCTGTTTCATTTCATCATTTAGGTCTTTTCTTGTATTCAACTAAGCCCGCCTTAACAGATAACGACGGATGAGATGAATTAAAGTCTAAATTATCTATTACCAGAATGCGTTGGCTTTTCTTATAAACGGTTGTGTGCTCGGAACGTGGTCATCGGTAAATATTACTCTTTATAACAAATACTGTGAGACTTTATCAAAATAAAATTTTATCCATAATGGATCATCAGAATAATTTTCAAATATATTTGTTTTCAAAGATTTGATTAGTTCCAGGTGTGATGACGAGTCGACACCAGTACCCACTGTTTTTCCTATGTTTCTCCAGCTGAGATTCCATGATCAAACCTTTAATTGTTTTCCTTTACATACCTGGAAGCAATTAATGGTGTTCTCTGGGCTGGTTGGTTTAATTGCGGAGCTTTCGTCGTCCCCCTTCTGGACAACATCCCCTTTCAGAGCAATATTTAGCATAAAGTGAAATGATTTAAATTTTTCTTCATGAATGATATAATTGCGTCATCATCAAAGACCACAAGGAAATTTATCCTAACATACATGAGAAATATCTGTGAAATAACAGCTAGAATACTGAAACCGTTTGATATAGATATAGCACACAAGCCAATAAAATCGCTTAATTCGATATTACAGAAACCGAAAGACCCATCCAACAGAAAAAGGGGATAAAATTAATTCCATTTACAATGTAAATTGTATGAACTGTAACAGGTATTACATCGGCCAAAGTGGGCGTCCTCTTCGAATTAGAATCCAAGAACACAAATCACCTGTGAAAAGACATGATATATATTCTTTCATATCAATGCATGTAGATAATTATGGACATCAATTTGATTGGGATAATGTCGAAATCTTGTACAGAGGAAACACCAAAAGTGCTGTCAGGTGTGAATTCCTAGAAGCCTGGTACTCAAACGAAAACTCAATTAAAAAGCACATTAATATAGACCAAATATACCAACTAATAAAAGGTAAATCAGATGACCAGAAAGTTTAAAATCCAAGTCAATAGAAAATGGTCAATACGCATATGTAAAGATGGTTACCGGGAGACGACACAATTATATCACTCATGAAGAAAAATTTGAATAATTTCACTTTATGCTAAATATTACTCTGAAAGGGGATGTTGTCCAGAAGAGGGGTGACGAAAGCTCCGCAACTAAACCTATCAGCTCAGAGAACACTATTAATTGCAAATCATCCACCGGAGCTACAAATCTTCTCTATACCTGGAAGCAATCATGATGGTGACATGCCTACAATGGTGGCCACATTTAAAACTTGTATAATAGAATTCAATCTGCACTGAATGAACGAGGAGACATACATACACTCATGACGTTAGTTACTACTTCATGTCTAATCATCAAAGTAAGTATATATTTCGCCCATTTTTTTTCTGATATATTTCAGATTATTGAGAAATCGAATCTCCTGAGTGTTTACAATCAAATGTATGTTAGTCGACGTTTAGCTAAGAGTACATTGAAGAGTTATATACAATTACAAAAAGAAAAAATTAAACTTCAGTTGAACTGGAAACATTCAGCTTTCAGTGGAACACGGATATATCGTCATAATTTATGGAAATATAATATCCCTGAGATAATGAAGGTATGCATGCATTCTATAATCATCAGGAATCATCTAAGTTTTGTTATGATTTTGTGTATTCTTTTTAATAATAATAATCTGCTTTATTCCATAACAGTACTTGTGATACAGAATGGAATTCTCACCATTTCACTACAGTATCGCATCCAGTTAGTACATTAACAATAAATAAAATTCTACATAGATTATGGGTAATCTCAGTTAGTTTAGACAACAACTTATTAGCATGTCGATAGCAAAGCCAAAAATTGAACAGATTGTTTGCACGTGTTAGAAAAGTAGATGGTATCATATTTACTGGCGTAAGCGGTAACAAAATCGTCGAGGTATACAGAGTGTAAAAGAACGAAGAAGAGTGTTTTCAACAGAATTTGTAAGCAGGAGAGAAACAAAGCTGCACATAACAAAAAAAAGAGAAAAAGAAAAGAAAGAAAGAAAAAACGCTACACCTATAAATGATATGAGTTGAAAAGACGAGATCCAATTGTTCTACTGACTATTTAATAAGTTATAGGTATCACGCCTAATGCACCCTTCTTCTTTATCACACAGAACACGAGCTAAGTAGGGTATGGTTGAGTTTTTGTACTTGCTAGTGCGAGCATATCGTTTTCTATATAGGCTTCAGGTTTCCCCTGATGAGATACAAGGGGAGAGTTGTGAATGAAGACGGTGGTGTGAATTAAATAGATAGAATATATTTAGCCCATTTTTACATGAGTCCAAGTGCCTGTCTTATTATTATTATTGCTATTCCCCTGGGTTCCCAGTGGAACATCTCCATTTCACCCCATCCTCTGTAGTCCCTTTCAACTGACTCGACGATTCCCCATGTGCTTTCACCTCTTCTACCTCACACGATCTGAACGAAGAACATTCTTTTCAATAATTTCTCTTCAGGTTCTTACAATTATAAAATATGCAATATTTGTTGTCGTTACAATAACAATAGCCAGTTATGCGGCGGATACATTTTTAACGTAGAATAACAGATCAGCAGTTATGGGGTGTCGAAATAAATAGTCATATTTGTGTGACAAAGGTCATGCTAGGCTGAAATCGATTAGAAAATATTGTAAAACGGGAAACAATGATGGTGATTGATCATAATAGAATTGTAGAGTGTGGGGTAGGAAAATTGACAAATCAGTTCAAGATTATAAAAGGTGTCAGGTGAGTGGAGTGTCTAGTACAAAGTGGTTTGAGTTAAACAGGAGATAGTAAGATTGCAATGAGAGGTGGTTCATGGTGAGATAACGAATATATCAATGAAACAGGTGGAGACGCATATTGAGAAAACAGATAATGAAGACAAAACACGTAGATCAGCGAAGAGTCTGTTTTCGCCAGCGAATTCATCTTCTTAGCTGTACAATCGCAAATATATATGCATTGTTTTGTATGTATGTGTACATTAAGTTTGTCAAACAACGTTACAATTGGTTAAGGTTACTTTTAACTAAACAAGTGAAGATTGGTAATACAGGTCAAGAAAATTAAGTGCTAATGAAACTAGGGTAGTAAAAAAAATTGTGATGAGTTGTCACAAACAGTCGTAATAATAATAGTGAGTTTTACTCAGGATGCACATAGAAATAAAGTAGATAATACGGAACTATGTAAGAGATCTAAGTGGATACAAGAATTATAATTGCTTAAGGTTATTTTAACTAAACAGGTAAAGGTTGGTAATATAAGTCAAGACCATTAAGTGCTAGGGTAGTAACAAAGGTGATGAGTTGTCACACACAGTTGTTAAAAGAAGTTATGCAATAATAATATGAATAGTTTGATGAGTGAGTTTTACTCACGATGCACATAGAAACAAAGTAGATAATACGAAACTATGTAAGAGATTTAAGTGAATACAAGAATTATAAGCAATTAAGGAACAGGCAAAGAAACAAAATTAAGTCATCAAAATAAAAATAAAAACTCAAAACAAATCAAAACATTGTTACCATGAGAGTAGAAGTGGTTGAGTAATCTTCTTTTGTATGCAAAGCTCCGGTTTTTCCATGTGAATGGCCAGAGCTTCAGCGATACAAAGGAGACGAAACCGTATTGCCTTTGATATGTTATTCTTGACTCTGTAGATTACTTTGAAGGAGGCGTTCGTTGAAATGCAATGATCAGTGTTGACCAGGTGTTCAATTATCGCACTCCTTATTGCACCAGTATTACCTTTTCGCAACCATGCTGGATAATGTTCTTGAATTCTCTTGGACAGGAATTAAAACAGATAATATCACTGATAATAAGTCCGTATAAATGAAAATTCGATAGTATTGAGGGAATGTTTGCATAAAGGGCATAAATTATGACGAATAACAATAATAACTGTAATAACAAGCAAAGTAAAAAAACCAAGAGGGTTGAGGGAAGAAACACTCTTAGTGAGAAGAAGGATCTTCAATCCAAGGTTGGCCACGGTAGGAACAGCGTCTGGACGTGCTTTTCTTTTTGGATACAAAGTTCCGGTTTAGTCAGTCTTATTGCAACAGCTTCAGCTATGTGCAGGAGACGTAAACGAACTGTACGTGATAACGACTTCGGAATTCGGTATATAACCCTGAAAGCTGTGTTGATATCTATATATATTTATCTTGTTAGTTGTTATTGTTGCTGTTCGTGTTGCCCAGGAATCGTCATCACCTACCTCTGTTTTCTCTATGTTTATCTGAAGTCCTATCTTCTCTGGATACTTCTTTTGCCAACTTGTTGCTTTTCATCACTTCCATATCTTCCATTTTATGGGAAATCAGACATATATCACATCGGCGAAGTCCAGATCCTCCAAGTTTTTTGTGTGAGTCCATTTTATGCCTGTTTCCTCATTGCCCGCTGTCTGTCGCATTATCCAATCTACTGCAATCAGGAAAATCACTGGCGATTGTAGGCACCCAGCTTGTCTTACTCCCGTCTTTACTTTGGAGGATTCCGCAAGTTTCCCGTTGTGGATTACTTGGCATGCGGCATCGTCGTACAACTAACTGTTGGATCAGATGTATAATTGTCGATGGGACCCCATAGTAGAGAAGTAGTTGCCAAATCACCTCTGGATCGACGCTGATCTGTCAAAGGCCTCTTCAAAGTCGATGAAGTTGAGATAGAGAGGTGACCGAATGCCATTCCAAGCTTTGTTCAATGATGATTCGTAGAGTGGCGATGTGATCAATCAATGACTTGTTTCTCCTGAATCCAGCTTGTTCCGGTCGAAGTTTTTCATCCAGAATGGCGTGTTTGATTCTCTCCAGGATGATGCGGCTTAGTATTTTGCTTGGGATGGACAGGAGCATAATTCCGCACCAGTTCTTGCATTGACTTAAGTCTCCTTTCTTTGGTGGTTTGAATAAGTATCCTTTCTTCCAATCCTCGGGTACTTTGCCCTCTTTCCACACCTTCTTCAGCAATGGCGTCATCAAGTCCGCTGTTGTCTCTGGGTCTATCTTCAATGCTTCTGCTGTGATTCCATCTGGTCCTGCTGCTTTCCCAGCTTTTAGCATCTTGATTGCATTCAGGACTTCTGATTTCGTCTGGGGGTCGATGTTCACTGGTAGTTCTTCTTCCGTTGTTGGTATTGTTGGGCGTGTTGTAGGTGTCGGTCGATTTAGAAGTCTTTTGAAGTGTTCAGCCCAGTGTTTTCTTTGCTCCACCTCTTTGGTGATTGACTTTCCATTGTCATCCTTTACTGGCTTAATCTGTGTCGAACTTTTGCCCGATAGGTGGCTAGTTGTTTGGTAGAGTGTTGCAAGGTCTCCTTCGCCTGCACCGCAGCTTGTTCTGCTTCATTTTCCATGGCTTCATAATATTTTCTTTTATCTTCCCTGACACTTTTCTTCACTCTTTTGTTCAGCATATTGTAGTTTGCATTCAACTCCTATTTTTGTTACTCATCGGTGCACTGGATAATCTTTTGTTTCACCATCCTTCTCTCTTCTATTAGTTTCCAAGTGTCCGTAGTGAGCCACCACTGTTTGTCCTGTCTCTTTTTTCTGCCTAGAAGAGATACCTATAGGGTAAAAATTTCACTGCAGTCCTACCCCACCACGTTGGCAGACGAAGCAGGTAACAAAGACACAAGCTCGAGTGAACATATAAGCATGCGAAGGTGATGAAGATAATGAACTAACCAACAACAACAACCAAAAGTACCAATTTAAAACAAGCAATAAAGGTTAATAAAGCAGGATTTAATGAATTCATCAAATTTCGGTAGAACTCGTCAGCTGAATACTCTACATACACGGATATACATATACCTGTTGAAATTACATAGGGAGATATAAGACTGATAAGTAAACAAACTACATTGAATTAATCATGCAGAGAGACAGGTGCGAATATTTTCCAGGTCATGTTCAAATAGATAAGGGGAGAGAGAGAGTATGAGAGATCAAAATTAAGATAAATTGCATTACGCTTCAATTACATCACTTAGATAAACAATTAGTCATTAGGGAATATAATAAGAATTGCAAACAGACTAATATCAATAGTAATAGTTTTAATAACAATAATAATAATAGTGTTGAAGTGAGTTAAGATAATCTTACGGATAAAGCATAGATTTAAATGAATCAAGAATAATAATAATGGTAGTAATAATAACAAAAATAAGAAGAAGAAGAGGTAGAATAATAACAATAACAAGTTAAACGTATTACCATGGTAGATTCAGAGTCACGACCATCTCCTTTTGTATACAAGAGCTGGTTTATAAATTCGAATTGCACAAGCCTCTGCAATTGCAAGCATCTTCTTGTTTCTTTGTTTGCTGACAATGGTAAATGACTTGACTGCGTCGATATCATGTCCGTAATCCACGAGATGTTTTGTTATTGAGGATTTTGGCACTTTGCACTCAGCTGTTTTCAACCATTTTGGCAAATGCTCCATCATGCGAGTAGACAATCGCCTTTCCGTACGATCTATGTATTTGCTGCCACAAACACACTCAAATTGATATATGCAGTTTGAAGTGTCGAGGATTGGCGACTGGTCTTTCCCAGATTGTTGAAGCACTCGCTTGGTGGTGTTAAGGATAACAAGTTTTGCAGCATAATAAGTTCTCTTGATGGCTTTGTCGAGTCTTCGTTTCACTACTTCAAACTGCATATATCAATTTGAGTGTGTTTGTGGCAGCAAATACATAGATCGTACGGAAAGGCGATTGTCTACTCGCATGATGGAGCATTTGCCAAAATGGTTGAAAACAGCTGAGTGCAAAGTGCCAAAATCCTCAATAACAAAACATCTCGTGGATTACGGACATGATATCGACGCAGTCAAGTCATTTACCATTGTCAGCAAACAAAGAAACAAGAAGATGCTTGCAATTGCAGAGGCTTGTGCAATTCGAATTTATAAACCAGCTCTCTGTATACAAAAGGAGATGGTCGTAACTCTGAATCTACCATGGTAATACGTTTTATTCTCTACTTGTTATTATTCTACCTCTTCTTCTTCTTATTTTTGTTATTATTACTACCATTATTATTATTCTTGATTCATTTAAATCTATGCTTTATCCGTAAGATTATCTTAACTCACTTCAACACTATTATTATTATTGTTATTATAACTATTACTATTGATATTAGTCTGTTTGCAATTCTCGTTATATTCCCTAATGACTAATTGTTTATCTAAGTGATGTAATTGAAGCGTAATGCAATTTATCTAATTTTGATCTCTCATACTCTCTCTCTCCCCTTATCTATTTGAACATGACCTGGAAAATATTCGCACCTGTCTCTCTGCATGATTAATTCAATGTAGTTTGTTTACTTATCAGTCTTATATCTCCCTATGTAATTTCAACAGGTATATGTATATCCGTGTATGTAGAGTATTCAGCTGACGAGTTCTACCGAAATTTGATGAATTCATTAAATCCTGCTTTATTAACCTTTATTGCTTGTTTTAAATTCGTATCGGGAAATAAATGTTTTCAAAAGTACCAATCCTTAACAACCGAAGAAGTTTGAATCTGGTCACTACTTCCACTTACCTGGGTGAATATCATCGTTTCATCAGCTGGATATCACAGCTGTTCCGCATCGGAATGTCAGGCCAGACATTCATTACCCTGACACTAGTGAGGAAGTCTATTGAACTTAGAATGAAGTACAACATTCACTGCTTGAATATAATTCAGAGACTTGGCGTGTGTGTGTGTGTATCACCGAGAGCATTTCGAACCGTCTACTGCATAATTTCATCAACAGCTGTCTTCGTTGACTCGATTTTGAAGGCCAAATGGCCAGAAAGGATAATAAATAAGGAATCCTGAAAATGAGCCAACCAAGAACTAATCGGTTAGCCTTTCAGGCCAAATCTCTGTAGTGGAATTCGAATGGGAAGTGGAGTATTGGGCGTAGAACGCTTGAAATAGAAGAAGGGAAAGCTCATGGGGAATCGTCGAGTCAGCCGAAGGGGACTAAAGAGGTTAGCGTGAATTGGAGATGTGCTGTTGAAGTTCTGTCTTCTACTTTGAACCCTGAGGAATCGGAGGTCATATGCATGAGTGAGACACCGATTCTTTGTCTATCATTAAATCAGCTACTTAGCTTCTTTTGTCAATCCTTTATTTTTTATTTTTATTTTATTTTATTTTTGATTTACAGCTTGATTCCATACTGTATTTTAGGTACAAGTATGGAATTTTCAGCATGGATATCGGTAGCCCAAATTTTACAGGCCAACCATAGATATCAGGTGTGCGTCGGTGCGGGTTCGAACCCCGAACCATGTGCATGGTCGGCGAGAGTCCTAACCACTGTGCCACCGACATATATATCCATATAAATTGTGTGTTTGTTTGACAGTCTGATATATTTTGCTATGTATATATGGATCGATATTCCATTATAATTAGCCAATCATGTTAAGACTGTCTATTGATTTGTTCATTTTTAATATTCGTTCACACACTTGTGTTCACACACTTGTTCGGACATTCTTATATATATTTTGCTCTCTTACACTTGTGTGACATTGATTCTCCTTGTGTTTGGAAAATAGAAGTATCATCGCAAACCTAGTGGTCTTCTGATTTCCGTCTTTCTTGCGTCAGGACTATTCAATTCTCGACCAGTACATAATAATCCTGTTTTTCACCATTCTTTTTCTTCAATTTAGAGTATTCAACTTGACAAAAATGACCTTGAATATGCTTTCAAAAAGCTTAATAAACATTTGGAAGTGGATTTTATGAATGTTAAGGTGACAGAAGTAAGTGTTAGTTCACTTGACAAGTGTGATTTGTGTAACTTTGGTTTTATCTTTTTGTCTTGCGAAATTCCTCAGAGTATTCCAAAGAGAAATTTTCAAGTTCCAGCAATGATGGTATTGTTTCCCTTTTATGAGGTGAGGTGGTTCACCTCATGCCTGAGCTTCTCTCTTTTGAGGAGTGCATCGTCCAGAAACCAAAGCTGAATTATGTCTCTCTCTCTCTCAGGTTGCTAACTAATGTTTTTAGTAGTCATTTAAGATCTATATATTTAAAAAGGCTGCACAATGCTTGAACTGTTGTTTGAGACTGTGAACACAGTCTTGCCAACGATCCATTGTCTACTTTCTTTTGGCGTGTCGATGGCACTGGTGATTATGATTAGCCTTGTAAATAATAATAATAATGATTTACTTTATTCCAAAAACAGTACTCGTGATACAGAATGGAATTTTCAGCACTAATCACAATATTGCATCTAATTTCCTCAAATTACAAAAACAAATTATTCACACAGAAAATTTTCCACATTTACAATAGGGGTAATGTCAGAAACATGCAGCGTATAAAATGGAAATAATAATGATAACAGCTAAGGTAATAATAGTAATACAAGTGAAATTGCCGTGGGCTTCTTTCACACAGTAATATCAATGTGCTATGGAAATCCTAACATGTTTAAAAATATTGAATATAATGTTCTCTTTACATGATATGGTGAGGGGAAAAACAAAGATTACAGCCGTCATGGAGATAAGTTGGTGTTTGCAATTATGAGAGTAAAACAGAGAAGTAACAGGACCATAAATATAATAGAAATAATAAAAGTAAAACTTGAAGGTATATAAGCATGGATGGAGGAAATTGTTTATTTACTAGATGAAAAAAGGTTAGTTAATTGTTGCCTGACACTATTTTCATCACATAAAATACATGCCAAGTATGGTATCATAGAATTTCTATATTTAGACGTGCGAGCATGCAGCTTTCTGAAGTTACTTCATGTTCTACCTGTTGAGATGTAAGGTGAAAGCTGAGGGTAAAGCGGATGCTCCAAGTCAGACAAAATCCCTTTAGCAAATTTATTGCCCGAAGTCAAATGCCTATCGACAACGACGTTAACTATGTGGTCCACTGGGACACCACTCACCCTACTGACGGTCTTCAGTATTCTACGAATTGTGACATAGTCTTTTTTAAGCAAACCAGGAGAGAATAAGTAAGGGTGAACAATAAAGAAGAATAGGTAGGATGCAAGAGTTTATGAACTGTAAGAGGAGGGGTTGAGTTATACCCGAGTGTCTTAACTTCGTAATGTAAAATTTCAGGCGGAATATTTTACTGGAGATCGCTAAGACATGGGTAGACCAGGAGAGAGAGATCAGAAGAGAGAATAAGTCCAAGATACTTAATTTCTGATTTGATTCCTATATCATTGTCGTCAATTTTACAACTGTCATGAGAATCGATGACTTCTTTTAACTGTCTTTTACATCTTAGGCTGAAATTAACAGTTTGACACTTAGAAGGATTCAGTTTAAGACCGTTAGACTCAGACTATTTACTGACTCCTGACAGAAAACTATTTATTTTAGTACAATCATCTAGCTGGGAGTTAACAGCCATTGAAACTGTTAAGTCACCAGCTTACTTCACAAAGTTTATTTCATTAGAGTGAGGCAAGTCATGTAAAAAGAAAGAAAAAATAAAAGGAGAAAGAACAGCGCCTTGAGGGATACCAGCTTCAGTAGGCAATGAAGTGGAAGACTTCCCTTTATACACAGTGTACTGCTTTCTTTCTGAGAAATAGGAATGTAACCAGTTAACCACAGCCCAACATTCTGTTTGACTTGTAGCAAGTTTATTTAATAAGATGTCCCTAGGGACCGAGTCAAAAGCAGATCATATGGTAGTCTTTGTTAAGGCATTAAGTCTGTATAGCTTTCAATCCACTAAGTCCTATTATTGGTGAGTAACGTTTCTCTTAGCTGACTTCATGGATCCCACTGGTCACGATTTCCCACTAGTAGTCGCTATTTAGCATCAAATTAATTAGCAAGTGTTGATTTACATTGGTTTGACTGATTATCGGTTTGATTACGAGCTGATATCAGACAAAGAAATGATGAAAACCAACACAGAGTACCGAGTAGCTGTTTCGTCCTAATTTGCAAGTCTTCAGCAAAACGCACTCGCAAGAGTTGAAACCAAGAGCCTTCATGTCACAGGGCCTACGAGCTTGCCTTAGTCTAGCAAGAACCAGCAACTGGCTCTATACATGAAATTACCTGGAGTTCTAGTGAGCAGTTACGAATACCAGGACCCACTAGGTCGTATCACTGATCATTATCATTAAAATGGAACAATTTCAAGTTTGAAATATGTGTATTCATTGCCTACGTGTATCATTTAACTGTAATACTTTCGTCATTTCTTAATTTTCTTATCTTTTTCAGATTGTAGAAGCTGTTTCTCACTGGTGTATTGATATCAATCTATTCATTGTCCTGGCATCACTGGCTGAACGTTATAATGGCCTAGAGTAAGTTTAATGTTGTCAAGCTTTGTTAATCAAACATATACATTTATTTCAGTATAAATCTTGTCATGAAAAGCAGAGAGCACTAGACAGTCATTTTGTCCTAGTTTGTAACTCTTCAGTAATTGACACACACGATCCCACCAGGAGTCGAATCTGCGGCCTCGTTGATCGCTCAGGTAGCTACTTAAGCAGTTGACGTTTTTTAAATTGCAACAGACAGACATGATGACAGTCCACCAATCAATATCACTTATCCTTGAATATTTGTGGTTGTCACCATTTATAGCTAACTTTGTATATACGTTATATTTCTGTCTTCTTATATTTTGATTGGATACTAGCAACTAGAGCGATGTGTCTAGTCCTTGGTGTTTGACGCTGACTGACTTCTACCACTCAGGTTTGCAATGTGCCCACCATGCTAGCTAGGTAGTTCACCATCACGGTGCACATTGATTTGATGATATTAGATGGTTGGAGGCAATCGGCCACAGGAATTCTGGCCTGATCTATGTTTCGTGCTAGTTGACACTCACCAGTCAGAAAGGCGTATCTGCAACTGACTTGAAGGAACTTATGTCCCAACCCTCTGAGATTCTAGCCTGCGTCACCCAGTACTGACTGCAGTCAGAGACGTTGCCACTGAGCTATTCGGGCTGGCGATTGACCTACTGTGGTGGTGGTGGTTTAAACATTGGATGGCCGTATCTCTAGTTTAAGGCTGAGTTCATCATTGGTGTTGCCGATTTGACCAAACTCAGAGACCTGAGTCAGTTCAGTGTATTATCAGTTCGCCCAAGTGTTTCGACGTCATTTGACTCTCTGAGCAAAGTCAGACTGGATACAAGATTTTATCATGAGGAGCTAGCACTGGTTAGAGAACCATTGGAAAACCAACAGGGAGTACTGCACAGAGGACTCGCCCTAGTTTGAGACTCTTCACCAGTACGCACCCACCCAGTAGGATATAGCAAGTCGCGCGTGAGGACAAATACTTGCCGAAGACATTGACTAATGGTCGCACTATATCGTGAATTGGCAGAAGTTGGAATTCACTGACTGACTATTGAATGGAGCCCCAGTGGCTTAATGGTCTACGAACTGGCTCGTCTTGTAACCAAAAGGTCCTGAGTTCAAACCCCGTGGTGTGGATGCGTACTGTGAAGAGTCACAAACTAGGACGAAACTTCTTTCCAGTACTTCAAGCTGGTTTTCCAATGGTTCTCTAGCCCATATCAGCTCGTGATGAAATCCTGTAACCGATTAATCAAATCCCTACAAATTAATACTTGAATATTAAACTGGGTACAGTTGATGAGCTCAACCTCAAAAGAACGAACGGAGTGTCTGGTGCGTGGATAAATTCGATTCTGCCGGCGATTAATGGTAATCAAATAAATATTTCAATGAACTCATGGTCATCTGATAATCATGATCGATATTACCTGACTACCAAAGTTTAAAAAAAATTATACATTTATACTTCGATTAATCACTAGGTTACGCTAACTGAGTTAAAGCGTCGGTGGCACAGTGGTTAGGATTCTCGACGACCATGCACATGGTCCGGGGTTCGAGCCCACACCAGCGCAAACCAGATATCTATGGTCGGCCTGCAAAATTTGGGCTACCGATATCCACGCTGAAAATTCCATACTTGTACCAAAAATACAGTGTGGAATCAAGCTGTTACCAAAAATTAAAAAATAATTTAAAAAAATAAGTTTGCAATGTAGTCACCATGCTAGACGATCCACTATCATGGTTTGCTCTGTGTTGTTGTTGGATGGTTGATGGCAACCGGTAAGAAGCTTTGGACCTCGGTTTCATATCTGTTGATACTCGTCAACAAAACTTAACTGAAATCTTGTAGGGACTCATGTTCCCTCTGAGTTTCAAACCCGCGTCACCCCGTGTTGCATTTAACGTTTTCTTTTCAAAAAACAACATTAAATATAAATCTGAGTTCGAGTTTACTCATGCACTCCAAAGTGACTTCAGTTCATTCGACGTTGCAGATAAACCTTGTTCACATATGTCGACATGCGTGTAACCTACGTCAAGGGTCCCCTGTCTACTGCTTCCGCCTATGACTAACATTAATTCATAGTGTATTGCAATGGGAAGTCACCTAGTTGTTGATTATATCGCAAAATTTGACTGATAGAATTCAGTCAGCGCCGACATTTAGCCAGTTTAGTTGATATATATATATATATATGACTAACAAAGTCGATCTGCCCTGAGGATTGCACAGTTGTACTGTCTGGTAACTAATTAATGTATAATTCTGTTCAGATGATACCTCCATAATAATAATAATTGATAAAAGTGGTTTCTTACACATTTTCAGATCACTGGTAAGAAATAATATATATAAAGTTGGTGCACAGTCATTACGCGCAAAGATTAAGAAAGCGAGAGTAAGTGTACAGTTCAAATTTTTGAATATATATTTTTATTATTATTGTTTCCTTTAATTCCATTGGGTTTGGTTCTCTGCGAATGATTTCATCGCCTGGCTCCATATCTGTCCACATGCTTTCATCTTCTCTTCTCTGCATGACCTCCTCTTCCATGTCACCCTCCTACTGACGACCAACTCGCCTCTTCCCATTCCATTGTGGTTCCATTCGAGCAATGGTCTGGCGGGTAATATCACTCACTTGATGGTTTTTTCTCTCAGAGTAAGGCCAACCCAATCCACCTCCATTTCTTCCTGCATATCTGTTGCTCGATTGCTTCCTGTTGGGTTGGTTCGTCGTTCCCAGAGATTCCCGTTGCTGATCGTTTCTGGCTGGCCATCTGATGTTAAGCGAAGTATTGGGCAAAGACAGCTGTTAATGAAAGTTTGTAGTTTGTTCATAGTACCCTTCGTGACTCAGTATGGCGCCTAGTCTCTGATCTGTCTAGTGAGTAGCATTGACTTCACAATGGGGTTCAAAGTCCTGATCTTATTTTTCATGCTGAATGCTGAATCTTAATCTCCACACAGACTTCAGAGAAATGAAAGCTTGCCCTAATTTCCCGACCCTCGCTTTGAAATCCTCGTCAGTTCCATCTGCCTGTAGTAGAGACGATGCTTCCCAGGTAGGTACGTGGGTAAAGGAGGTTGTTTCCTTCAGATTTTTCACATTTATACTGGTTGACTGTCGTCTGTTGTTGTTGCTATGGCTGTCGCTGTTGGCCGGGAATCTTCATCATCACCTCTTTTTTCTCTATGTCCACATAATGTCCTTTCTTCTCTGGATGCTTCTTCTGCCAACTTGTTGCTTTTCATCACTTGCACATCTTCCAGTTTATGGGAAGTCAGAAATATATTATCGGCGAAGTCTATATATATATATATATATATATATATATATTCTAACTGTGGTGGATTGGATTATGCAGAATACAAGAGGAAGTGAAAAGACAGCAATACGTTGGACTCTAGATGATCTAGACTTCGTGGATGATTCATGACACATGAACTTGAAAACTTACGGGAGAAAACCAACTGGCTGACAGAAGAAGCAGGCAGGAAAGACAAGACTTCAAGTGGACACAGATAACAATGAATGTAACCAACCAACCAACAATAACAACAAGCACCAATCACTAACAGCGGTAGAAATTTGAAGCAGATCACTTTTTTCACTTATCTCGGCGGCACAAATAAGGATGTCAAAACCAGAATCTGAAAGACAAGATAGAATTTCCTCACTCTGAAATCAGAGTGGAGATCAGCTGCATTAAAGTTGAAGAACAAAATTCGGCTTTTCAACACCAAAGTCTTGGAGCGGCACTAAGTGCATTTACAACAGGCCTTTATCAGCAACTAACTTTCCTAGACCTGTACAAAACATCAAATGGCCAGGGAGAATCAGCAACAAGAAACTTTGTATACGAACCGATCAGGAATATGTACTGAAGAAAATGAAGGTGGATTGGGCACACGCTGAGAAGACCGCCTACTGACATTTCCCACCATCCAGGCCGAACCTTAAAGTAGAACTTCAATAGCAAACAATGTGTTGAGCGTCCAAGAGTGAAATGGAGAAAATCGTTCAATGAGGAGAAGATGCAAACCTGTGGACAATCGTAGGGACTGCTGAGAATAGAATAAAATGAAGATTTGTTGTTGCCACCATACATTCCACCTGGAATCCAACAGAATATTAGTAAATAAAATACTAAAAAAATTCAAATACTTTAGTTATTATCTTTCACAAAGGTGAAAGCAGTTCATATCATGTAATTCAACAAAAGCATTATCCAAAGGCGTAGAAGCAGTTGTTGTTAAGCTTGTGCAAAACTAACAGCAATATGTCTGCGTCTGTCAACATTCTCTCAACAATAATAAGACCCATTTCAGCATTAGGAAAACACAATATTCAGAGAAGAGACTCTTTTCAACGAATTTTATCTAGCTGTACAATCGTAAATATGTGTATGGTTTTTAAGAAATTATATCCAGTGAGGGAATTAGGTCAAAGGTGTGAGCGAATACATAAAATAATAGTAGTAGTATGAAATGCAATTAAAAAAATATTTGTGATTATAATCATAGTTTAATGTCAAGTGGCAAAATAATTAATGTCATATATAGAATAATACATAAGGTGTATAGATTTTGGAAAGGGGTACATAATTATAAGATTAGTAGACGAATATAAAATGATTTATAACATGGTGTGAAATTTGATAAGATAGAATTGAATATTGTAAAAATAAAGCATAAGAATTAATAATTCTTTGTTCAGAATGACAAGTGGGTCAAGTGGAAACAATTCAGGGTGAGAATAGTAATAATAATAATAATCGTAGTAATAAGGGAAAGGCACATAGAATAACTAAATAAACAAAATGCATAAATAAATGAATGTCCATCCCTCTACGGCTAAGGCAGAAGTAGGCATTGTACATACTTCTATTGCACACAAAGGTCTGGCTGGCTTAAAGTCATGAATTACCAAGGTCTCTGCTGCCTTTAGAAGTCTGTAACGAAGAAAACGCGGCCAGCAAATTAGCGTGGATTCTATATGTGATCTTGAAATCATGGTCAGGGTTGGCACAGTGACAGAAGTCAATCAGGTGTCCCAGAATAGAGCTTCGCATTCACTTCCTTTCTCCCTTGTAAAACTATGCAGCTGGAATATGTTATGGTATCCATGTGGAAAGCGTCCTCTGACTACGGCCAATGTACCTTGCTCCACAAGAGCAGGTGAACTGATAGATGCACATGGAGGCGGCCGGACGGGAGAGCTTATCTTTTACAGAAATGAAGGACAAATTTTGGCTGGTGAATGTCATTTGTATTTTGCTATATAGAACGTCTTGCTGACTGCTTTAGAGAGACGGTTTTTGAGAACATCTGATCATTTTTGAATTCCAAGTTCATGAATATGGTTTTCTTTAGAACTGAGTCTGTGACCAGTTTAAACTGCTTATCTTTCGTGTTGCTGTCAATAAGTCGATTCGGGTAACCGTTTTCTGTGAGTGTGGCTTTCAAGAAGTTACGTTATGAGTCAACACAATCAGAACTACAAATGTTTCTTATCCTAAAGGAGAGCGGATGAATTAAGTTCCTTTCACTAGAGATAGGCACCCAACTATAAAAATTAGTTAGTTGTCCATTCTGTGTACGTTTCCGGTGGATGGATCTTTTGAGAGATCCGTCATTACGTCTACTAAGACACACATCCAGAAATGGAATAGAATAGGAATCTCAACCAAGTATTCCATTTCTGTATGTATGTCTTAGTAGACGTAATGAGGGATAGACATTTATTTATTTATTTTGTTTATTTAGTTATTCTATATACCTTTCCCTTATTGCTACGATTATTATTATTATTACTATTCTCACCCTGAATTGTTTCCACTTGACCCACTTGTCATTCTGAACAAAGAATTATTAATTCTTATGCTTTATTTTTACAATATTCAATTCTATCTTATCAAATTTCACACCATGTTATAAATCATTTTATATTCGTCTACTAATCTTATAATTATGTACCCCTTCCCAAAATCTATACACCTTATGTATTATTCTATATATGACACTAATAGTTTTGCTACTTGACATTAAACTATGATTATAATGATAAATATTTTAATTGCATTTCAGACTACTATTATTGCCATTTTATGCATTCACACCACTGACCTAATTCCCTCACTATGTAACAAAACAAGGGACGGCAATAGATCGTTTTATTACGGAAATCAGCACGTATTTATAGATATTTCACGTACATTATTATAGCTTATTCAAGCAGACAAACACAGTCTTCTGATTGGTTGTTTCTAGTTTCTCGGAAAGTTAAGCCATCTATCTGCGAGTCTTATTTGCCCACGTTAAGTCTGCTGTGATTGGTTGTTGATGAATCAGCCTTGTTCATATTTTCTCACGGCCAATATTAGTGACCTAGACATTGACGTAAATTAATGTCTACCAATTGGCTAGCAGCCTGCTCTCACGACAACCGGATATAATTTCTTTAAAACCATATACATATTTTCGATTGTACAGCTAGATAAAAAAATTCGTTGAAAAGAGTCTCTTCTCTGAATTTTGTGTCTTTATCACTGAAACTGACAAAAGACAACTCAAAATCTATAATAACAGATTCATTTGCATTAGTGAAACGACTAAAAACCACTAAATTAGACGAAGAAGAATTAATAGTCAGCTTTTATGTGATAATTATAATAATAGTAATAATAATAATTTATTATTATATCCTTTATTACTAGAAGATTATAGGGCTTCAGCTGCACGTCTCCATTACCTTCGGTTTTCTGCCAAACTTTTCACCCCACTCCAAGTCTCCCACACGCTTTCATCTCCTGTTCACATCACCTCCTCCAAGTCACCCCACCGTGATACAACTAACTCGCCGCTTCCCATTCCGTCGGGTTCCACTCAAGTGATGGCTTGTCTAGTGATGTCACTTGATGGTTTCCTCAGAGTATGGCCAATCCATCTCCATTTCTTCCTGCCTATTTGTTTCACAATCGGTTCCTGATTGATTTGCTCCCAGAGATCCCTGTTTCTGATCCTTTCTGGTCGGCCATCTGACCTTGAGTATTGAGCGAAGACAACTGTTAATGAAGGTCTGAAGTTTGTTTGAGATGCTCTTTATGACTCGCCAAGTGTCTGATCCGTATAGTAGCACTGACTTTACATTGGAGTTGGAAACCTGGATCTTATTTTTCATACTGAGTGCTTTATTCCAAAAACAGTACTTGCAATACAGAATGGAATTCTCAGCATTTGTCACAATATTCCACCTGATTTACTTAAAATATAAGTAAAATTAAAAATTGGAACAAAAGTAACCAGAGGAATTTGTCAACATTTACGATGTAGAGTCAAAAATATTTGAAGCACGAAGTGAGATCATTAAATATAATAATAATAATAACAGTGAGT